TTATTCTTCTTTTTGTTTTTCTTCTTTCGTTTTTTTTCTTTTGTCTCTGTGTTTTTGTTTTTTTTCCTTTGTGATGAAGATGATGATGATCATAATCATATCTGTAGTCGAATAATATGAATATGAAAATAATGAAAAAAAATAATAAAATCTTTTTCTGATTTATTCCATATCAATAAAAGACATAAACAAGTTGGAGGATGATATATATATATAAATATATTTATACAATTCATTTCCTTCTTGGTCTTTGTTCAACTAATGAAAAATGCTTTATTGGCTTAAATGAACAAAACTCATTATTTTATTCATATTTTTTCACAGATAATCTTTTGGATTTTTATTTATACTGTCTCTCTCTCTCTCTCTCTATCTTTTTGTTTTTATCTTAATAGATTGCCGTTGTGGATGCTTTTTATCAACCACCATTATCTAATCAACCATTATTATCCATGACATCGAAAGCACCCACATCGAATACTTTACATGATACTGAAACAGAATTACAGTAATTCATATAATGATTTATTAAATTTAAGTTGTATTTGTGTGCTGTTGATTTTTCATTTCTTTTGAATGTGATAAAAAAAAAGAAATTTCTTGTTTTTTTCGTTTTTTGCTTAACATACTCACTATATCAATGTCCTGTCAAGCTAATGGAATAAAAATAGTAGATGTCTTAGTTCGAATGCTTAAAAAATATTGACTTATGTATTGATGATTAACGGAACAATTTGTTGAATGGTGATAGAAAAATATTCTTTTGTCTTGCACAGACTTTAACCTTATGTCTTATGTCTTATGAAAACAATGCAGTCTAGAAAAACAAAAATAAAACCCGGATGACATTAGAGGGAATCATTAATCTTGGTTTTATTTTTCTTTGACAGAGAGTTGATTACTATTTTCCTCTCTAATTCAAGCAAAATTAGAATTTGTTTATTGTTTAGTGTTGAAATCAAAATTTGATATATTATAAATTATATTACTGTCATCATTATTATTAGGAAAAAACAATTCATTCTCTTAGAAAATAATAGTTATTTTTCATTGAGATGTATATCATTCGGCATAATAACCTAAGTCAATGAAGGTCTATTTACTTGAAAAAAGAGACTTGAATATTTTTGATTGTCTTAACTAATAATTCTAATAATTAAAAGTAAATCTAGTCAATCAACTAAAGTTTTCTATCAGCAATACTAAGACAAAATGATCATATTTTTTATTTTTCAATTTGATAATTTTTATAATTTTCAATCTCGAATTCTCATTGAATATTAAAGTAATTTCTGTTGTTTGCTCATTTCCATATGAAAAAAAAATATATTTGACTTTTTAATTTTATCGTAACACGAATGAATAAAATCTTTCGTTTATTTTGCTTATCGTTTATTCATACAGAAAAAAGATACGACTGATTTCATATCTGTGTCATATTATAACAGACAAGAAGTTATTCATTAAAACCATCCAAGTCAAGGGGGAGAGGAAGGATCAAGGATTTCTAGACGTCCAGATAATTACTATGAATATTTTCCTTCTTTTTTACAAAATTTTTCGCAGAATTTTGAAGAGCAATCTTACATAGAAGATGAACTGAATCAATGAGTTGAATATGAATATGATGTTGAAATAATTGAAAATTCTATAATATGAACATTATTAGATTTTCGAGTGTCATTGATATTGAACTTCAGTTTTTGTTTGTACTATTTTCTATTCATTAAACTACAATGTATTTAAAAAACAAAAACTTTGCAATAGCTTAGATCTTTGTTTGTTGTTTATTAAACGTGTGTTTGATCTTTGGGTGTGAATGAGGGTGAAGAAACTGGACAGGCGAAGTGAAGCACTGTAGATATTTTCGTATGGCAAACGGACATGTGACTGTCTTGTTCGGAAAGGAATTTCTTTCCTCAGAAATGATTGCATATGATGCAGAAAAACATTTTTTAAGAACAAGAGATTTGGAGGAAAAAAGTGTTCCGACGAAAAATACCTGAGGAGGATCCCTGCACGCATTTCTTTCTTCAAAATTATTTTGTGTTATATATCATTCGACGTAGTTTAATACACTGATTCCAAATATATCATTTGTGTCGATTAAATATTTTTTCAAAGTCAGACAAACTGAAAAGTCTAGGTATATTGGAAACCCATTGTGTAGTCCACGAATGTTTGCACTAACAGGGATTAGAGACAGTAGATAGAAGAATATTCTGGCAAAGTTTGAAGGTTGGATGCAGGTGAGTTTTTCATTTTATGGAACTAATCATTCGGACGACACAGATCTTAGTTTGGGGACTGAGAAAATGTAATTGATTTGTCTGTCGAACAGTTTAATTTTCTCGGTAAAATCACGATTCTCAGACAACTGGTTTTTCAGTTTCTTTTAGGTTTGTAACAAAGTTATTTATATCATTATATAGACTATATTTCGAAGTATATTTCCCTATATTTAAATCTTGAAAAAGTACGATTTCCATTCATAGCCAAATATCCGTCTAGATGCAATCTGTAAGAGGGACAACGTCCATAAATGCAATTTGTGAGTGTGGGGTGTGGGTATTGTTTTAGTCTTCTTTCACACTCACACCCACACCCTCCGTCTGATTCTGCTTCGACCTAATTCCCGTAATTCCATTCTGGAATTGCTTTCCATCCTCACCCTCATAGTGACCTGCCTTGTGGTGGATTAATTTGTAAATAAGTTAGCGATTCCGGGAATTAAGTCGAAGCAGAATTGGACGAAATTCCTAGAAACTTCGGAATCGGACGGAACTCCCAATAATTCCTAGGAATCCCGGAATCTGAAGGAATTCCGAAATCGGACGGAATTCCAGAATTGGACGGAATTATTGGGAATTGTGATTAATTTAGGATGGATACAATTCCGGGAATTTCAGGAATTATGGGAATTCGATCGTTATCGAATAAGGCGAATTTGTTTCGTGATGTTCAAGTTCCAGGAATTGCATGGAACTGATTCCGGGGCGGAACTGATTTCTGCAATGTGCAACATCGCGAAATAGGATGACTGCTCATAAGATCCATAGTACAAACATCTCCAATAGTCTTCAGTGTACAATTGTTAAGTTAATCTGATATTCCATCCGTTGTATAGCACCCGACAAGAGTATCTCCCCATTGAATCTCAATCACAATATGAGCTGTAGATCTGAAAACTAGTGTACAAATAGTTCTCAACGAATGCTGATCAACGACACCACCTGCAGCCCGATTGCATGAAGTATAAGAAAGTTATAATGTATACATTCTGTCTTCATTGTGGACTTCAAAACCCAGGAACGGAAAGATTCTATGAGTCGAGACTAGTTTCATTTTGTAGCTCTACACTTTGGCTATCTGTGATAAAAGTTTCATTAAAATTCAATGAGTTGTTGTGAAACTAGAACCATTTTACTGTAAGGATCGATATCTGACAAAACCGACCTATCCCATTGTGTACTTCATAAATCAGTGAAAGTTTGAGAGATCGACTTCAAGCTTACAGAATAGATTATCCCATAGATCTTTATTGTTCTCTGAAAGTTTCAGCCTTATATCACTTACTAGATAGAAATGGCACTATGCTGAAGTTTTAGATGGTGTTATAGGTCTAGCTACTCGAACACTCAAGCAATTGGCTTCATCTTTTGTGTACATAACTAACATGTAAAGAGGTATAGTTCTACCAAACAAAGGTTACAAAAATCACTAAGTATCATGCAAAACAAGATATAAAATTTTACAGTCAATTTTTTCCTCATTCTGACCAAGCTGAGAGAGATAGAGAATGAGAATAAGGATTCCTATTCTTTTCACAATTATATACCAATTTTTACTCATGTTCTTACTCTTACAGTTACTCTGATTCATCATCATGATGAAAACTATCAGAAGATCTTTGACAGACTTGAACTAGATAGACAAATCCCTTTTAATTCTTTTGTATAACGTTTTTTTTTGATACTGTTAAACAAAACAATAAAAGGTCGTCAGAATGAGGAAAAAATTGACTGTAAAATTTTATATCTTGTTTTTCATGATACTTAGTGATTTTTGTAACCTTTGTTTGGTAGAACTGTACCTCTTTACATGTTAGTTATGTACGCAAAAGATGAAGCCAATTGCTTGAGTGTTCGAGTAGCTAGACCTACAACACCATCTAAAACTTCAGCATAGTGCCATTTCTATCTAGTAAGTGAAATAAGGCTGGAAATTTCAGAGAACAATAAAGATCTGTGGGATAATCTATTCTGTAAGTTTGAAGTCGATCTGCCAAACTTTCACTGATTTATGAAGTACACAATAGGATAGGTCGGTTTTGTCAGATATCGATCCTTACAGTAAAATGGTTCTAGTTTCACAACAACTCATTGAATTTTAATGAAACTTTTATCACAGATAGCCAAAGTGTAGAGCTACAAAATGAAACTAGTCTCGACTCATAGAATCTTTCCGTTCCTGGGTTTTGAAGTCCACAATGAAGACAGAATGTATACATTATAACTTTCTTATACTTCATGCAATCGGGCTGCAGGTGGTGTCGTTGATCAGCATTCGTTGAGAACTATTTGTACACTAGTTTTCAGATCTACAGCTCATATTGTGATTGAGATTCAATGGGGAGATACTTTTGTCGGGTACTGTAATAATATAATCCAAATGACTTTCTTCTATAGGACAGTCATAGCAAGTAAGATGACTTGAAACTAAATGGATAATTTGAAATATTATAAATAAATACATAGAATAACATATTTTCGTTCAAGATTGATGAATGTATACAAGTGTGTGTGTCTACTACGTAATAGCAAGATTCAAGATATATAAGTATGCAAAGATAAGCAAATCTTGCATGTGAATGTTTGCATCTTATCATTCAAAAGAATTTATTTTTAAGTTGTTTTTATTGTCCTTGAAAATTTAAAATAATGGCATACTTTAATTCAAAAATCAATATTTCTATTAATATAAAAAACAGGTTTAATTATTCAATGAAAGAGTTTTAGAAAAAAACCAACGAATAGCAAAGTCATTTTGTTCATAGATAATATGGATGTTGATTTATTATCGGTATGAAAAAATTTGTCAAAATCAAAAGAGATATCGCTTTTTTGACGAATACTATCTCCAACAGCCGGTGTATTACAATCTTCGTGACCACACATGATCAGCCAAAAGGTAGTTTTGGTTCGATCAATCATATTAAATAACATCTGATGTGACAATACACCTTTATCAGGATCATTAGTCGAACATGTTGCACATAATTCTGTTCTTGTTTGATTTATCATTCCGGATAAAATACATTGTTTACATGAACTTGTTGGTATTGTAGTATCACATTCTTCAAAAGTTACATTTGAACCACGATAACACCATTCACCTTGAAATGGTAGAACTGGATTGAGAAGATACGTAAGTTGATAAAGATTATCAGTTATCATTAATGAACTTAATAAACGTTTCAATTGACTTATACTATTGCATTGATCAGTATGACATTCGTATATAATACCTTTTTCCCATATTGGCATCAATCCTGTTTTATCATAACCAATATTGACTTGAAGTTTGTGGCCTTGTAATATTGACGGCTCATTATCATCAGCAATTAATGTTATTTTTGTAGTATCTGGATTCCGTTGCCAGAATATTTGAATCATACACTGTTTTGAATTAGCTTTTAATGAACAATTGCGAAGTTCAGTAGGAATATTGTCATCTGTAATAATATAATTAAAACCGTTTTCGTCATATGGACAATAATAACAAGATATTTCAGAGGAAACAGTATATAAGACTTGAAATGTTAAGAATAAATAAAACAACATGTCGTGTGAATTTTACTGTTTAAATAATATCAGGTAAAAAAATTCAAGATATATAACAACAAAAAGATAAGTCATTCTTCAATGTAAATGTGTGAATCATTTCTATTCTTTACTGATAGTATCGATTCAAGCTAATTTTATCTACCCAGTGGCATGGAGACAATTGTTATATTTTAATATACGATAGTGAGGTTTATTAATTTCCTCTGAATAACATTCTCTCTTTGTTCGATTGAAAGAATAAAGTTAAACATTCATTATAATTGTTGTTTTCTTTGATGGTATGTTAAGATAAATGTCATTCTCATTCCTTCGTTTATTTTATCATGTATGGTTTGTTATGATGAACGAAAAAAAAACATTCTTTACAGTTTAATTAATATTTGTAATTATTAGAATGATTCAGTAGCCATATAATGATGAACTTTGTGGATGCCTTGTCTAGAATGAGTTATAATTTTTTGTTCGACAATCAATCAATCAGCCATTGGAACATATTTGATCAACTTAACAGCGTATATATTTATTCTTCATGTACGAAATCGGTAAAAACAAGTTGCGCCTGTTGTGTTTGACATGGATTTACTCATAAACGTTAATGAAATACAATCGTATATAGTTCGATTTTCATTAAGTACACAACAACTATCAAATGGTTCACTTGGTTTAAAAAAGATTATCAAGTTCACTAAATTAATAAGTCAATATTAGACACTTGAACTTGTTTGCAGTGTTACCCTTATTAATGCAACACTAAGACAAAAAAAGGTGTATACTAGACTTTTCTTAGCCATTTACTACATGAGAAAATTGTCAAACAATAATAATATTTCGTTTTCTTCAATTAGACGGTTTTTAATTAATCGTTATTAATTATTAAAAAACCCAATTAACTCATTCTTGGTTTGTATTGGATGCAATATATCAGTGTTTCTTTTTTAAAGTTATAACAGGGTGCTGGGCATCATATGTAGTTCATTTACTTGGATGGCAGCTTTTGGCTTAGGATATGCGATTTGTATGACAACTGGGATAACAATAGCTACAGTACATAATGGTGTATATTGTTTTTTAATTTGATGAACATTTTTCTCCAATTCTAAATAACGTGTATTACATTCTTCTCGAGTTTGTTGACATTTTCCACTTTGTCTTTTCAATATAGGGATTTGGAGAGCAACATTTCATTGCAGAATTTGAGCACATTCAACAATTTTATGTTCAATATTAACAGAGCAAAAAAACAAGATTTTTTTGCGACAAAGTAAATCAGGATTAACTGAATTGTTTGTTGGCGGACGTGGGTATGAGTTAAGAGAAGAGCTACGTCAACATCCACACTCACACCCACACTCAAACATTCCAGGAGAAGAAAACGACGCATAGCACATGTTGTCTTGAAAACAACACAACAGAAAACAAAACACGACTTGTTACCAACACAATAAAGTATTCTCGATGGAAATAATGCCACAGACAGAACATACTTCGTATCCAACTGATCAATTCAAATGAGAAAGGACGAAACTATAACCGTAGCATATTCTTTAACATAATACTCACCCTGTTGTGTTCAAGAAATCTCTGTTTTGCTTTAGTGTATTAAACGTGGGAGAATTACACTGAAATCTTAGCACCCATGCATTTCGCCCCGTTCACTTCGTCCCACAATCAATTCGTCCTATCCATTTCGTCCCTTGACTTTTCGTCCTAAACACATTTTGTCCCATTACAGTTTGTCCTTTTACAATTTGTCCTGTTGGACAAGTCATTTGTGACAACTCTACTTAAAATACAATGCTATATGAGAGGTGTTACATATCCAGAAAATCGGCAATGCGAGAGAAGTGCAGGATATGCATCTTCAACAGGAGTTATGCCATCTTCTGTAGAGATTATGTATCTCTAAGTAGATCTCTCAACTGTTGGTGTGAGCAAAAAAACACACAGGATAGATGTCTCGATTGCTTATGAGGGTGAAAACATGGATACAACCAAAAGCACACTCTTCTCAAATTCCTATACACTTCTCTCATATGTCCCTACACTTCTCTTCTATCTTCTTACACTTCTTCTGGATCTTGCTATATTACACTTCTTCTGGATCTTGCTATATTACACTTCTCTCGAACCTCCCAATACTTCTCTAACATCCCCAATTTTCTGGATGTGTAACACCTCTCATATGACACGGTATTTTAAGTAGAGTTGTCACAAATGACTTGTCCAACGGGATAAACTGTAATGGGACAAAATGAGTTTGGGACGAAATGAATGGGACAAAGTGTATGGAACGAAAAGTAATGGGACGTAATGAGTGTTCACCGAAATCTTTTCAATTCAATATATAATGCAGTGCTAAAGCTACTTGAAGATCGGCTCTTGAAAAAGGCCGAAACTATAGTCGTAGTATATTCTTTACCATTATATTCATCAATCCAGCCCCATCCTCAGCCTCGGCTTCAAGATTGTATAGATCAATTGGATGGAGATATCCTGTCTGTGATCTTCGGATCATTAGAATAGAATCTTTATACAATTAAACCATCTGATGAGACCTTTGAGCAAGGTTGAAATCGTGATAACGATGTGCTTTTTGACTCACTCTCACCCACTCTCCCGATATTCGTATACTCACTCCATTTAAATCCTGATCTCATCCTTCAAGTCGTTGCGAGTTCAGCATCATCAACTTTCATACATTAAACGCATCTATAGTAAATAAATGGTAATATTTTACGAAGGTAGATCGATAACATTTTATTTATTAGGTACTTCTATGTTATCTATGTAATATGTTTCTTATCATTACATTGTCAACAACAGAAGGCATTCATTTTTTATTTCGTTTGTGCCGCGTAAACGTTATTTTATTATTATTGTTTCGTTGAAACGATGATGTTTATGAAAATAGATTTTCTTCTTGTCTTGATTATTGTTACTGATATTACTGTTGGTTATCATCAACAATGTACACAGATGCGACGTTGTTTTCTTCCATTCGAAAATGTAACAGCATATCCTCCTGAATGTGAAGAAAAATTAACATATGATGATGAATGCCGCACTACTTGGAGCATAGATTTCATTAAAAGGCAAATTGTGCTTGAATATGGTCATATTGAACTTCATGGCCCCCCAACATATGCTACTTATCTACAACTATTTGTTGACCTTAATAAGAATACGAAATCAATCAGTGCATACTACCGTTGTACAACATCAGATGATTGTGCTCGTAAATTTTATGAATCATATATTCGATTATACATGAGAAAAGAGTCAATATTCAATGAAATACAAGAACTATTATTTGATAAAAATTCCAATTCAACGTCTGCTCAAACAATTGAATGTTACTCGTATACAGCAAATAGAATACTTTCGTGTGAATCTGGTGGATGTGTGGGTGGGTTACTAATTTCCAAGAATCTATCTTATTATGAAGTAAGCCAAAGATGTGCTGATCCCCTCTTCGATAATGACTGGCAACCTGCATCGTTTCAAATGCGTATTATGGAAAGGTACCCACGTGAATACTTTGACCAATATATTGTTCAATTTATTTGTAATAAACGATTGTGTAATGATAAAGAAGAAATAAATAAATTTAAAGAATTATCAAATCAATATCATCAATGGCCACTTTACAATATGATATCGACACAGCCAACTAATTCGAGCGAGAAAAGATCAATAATAAATTATTTTCTTATCGTTTCCAGTATTTATCTATGGTTAATATAGCCGAATTAAGCAACATCTAAATATTTCAAAAAATTTTTAAAAAATTTTCTTATTATTAACTAATAACATTCCTAACTAATAACTTAGCAATACCGCAAACAATTATATAATATAATATTGTTTCTAATTAGTGAAAATTATTTTAAATATTTTTAAAATCAATTATTTTCTATCAATAATTTTAACTATAAACTTATTCTATTTTGATTTTTGATTTTGTTCAGTCATATTCTAAATTTGGCCAAACAAAAATAGAATTACAAATTTGACCAGATAAATCCTGCTTTTGTCTGATCAAAATTAGAATGCATATGTGTGTATATGTCGATTCTAATTTTGATAGATCCAATTTAGCAACTTTTTCCAATTGTGTCTGGACCAATTTGAAAATTGATCAGACTTTAATTTTGTCTATAACATACATTTATTATTTATCACATATTTGAGGATGAGGGTGTGGGCGTGGGTGTGGATTGAAATATTCTATTCTCTCACATCCACCCACACACCCACACACAGCTCTATCGATTGATAATAAATTCAAGGCAAACAGAGGTTGAAGTGGCTTATAAGTGGGTTATACCGTATTTTACTAATACTCCTAAAGAGAAGAGTAAAAGAAAAACAATGTATCCATCCAATTCATTAGATGAGATCTTTGACGCTTCGGAAGACGTAAATGATGATAATGTTCAGCAACAACTATTAGTCAAAACAGAAGTTTAACGATACTTGGATGCTGAAACAGTGATTAGCAATGATATGGACGCAGTGACATATTGGTATTTGAACAAAGTGTCGTATCCAACATTCACTGAAGTGGCTCAATGTGTTCTGTCTGTACCAGCAACAAATATCTCCGTGGAACGTATATTTTTCGATAGCGATAATACGATTACTAATCGGTGGATCAGATTAGAAACAGAAAAGTCAATAATCTTTTGTTTATTCATCATAATTTACGGACATTAAGAGACATTTTTCCACCGGTAGTCGAAGAATTCAGCAAACGGAAACAATGTCGTTTCGACTGGATCAACACCATCGGCATCACCAACGCTCACGGAAAAACTCAAAACAACGATAAACAACGAATAAGACGACAGTGATATAGATCAACACGATGACGATGCAGAACATTCCTAAAATACGTCACTGAGCTTTTTTTTTGAATATATTTATGGATATCGATTAGAAAGAGAATATGTGTTAGCCAGCAAGAATTTCTAAGTTGGAACAGATATGACACAGAAGCTAACTACACTTCCAGATAACTTTTTTCCATATTGTTCCGCACGACACTATTTCATATACTCCACGCTATTTCTTGGCGGAATAGCCTATCAACTTCTTATCAAATGTAATTTTCTTATTATTCAATTCATTGTTAATGATTGTCGTTTTGATAATATTTATGGTTTGATGAAAAATTAAACTTGGTGGTGGTTATTTCAACAAGCTGTAGGTATATTCAAACCGCTTGTTTGCTTGATATGAATCTTTGTGTTTAAAATCGATTTCTTGTAAAAATCGATACTCACTATATCGATATGGTTTTTTGATGACATTCGACCACTTGCTGTTTTTTTACCAAAGGAATTGGGCATCATATTTCTTATGCGACATGTTTTCAAAAATCAGATGGTAAGATATATATTCCAATTTTCTTAGAAAGAGCTTTTTAACTGTTTTTTACATATATAAAATGTAACATTCCTAGTACTAACTGATGTATAAGTTGACATTTGATATAGTATGGACAAAGATTTGACAATTAATAAATAAAGTCATGTGGCTGATGTAAATTTTACTATGGTTGAATATTTCTACTTGTTTATTCAGTCATCTCTAAGAAAATATTATCTATACATACCATTTATTTTTAGATATGGAAGTACATGCAATGCCTTCAAAGAACGAAAAAGGGATGAATCATGTTCTTGCATCTTCGATTTTTCGTTCTTTGAAGGCATTCGAGTATATTTTCATACCTAAAATAAAAAGTATATGTAGATGTTATAGATGCTCTCGACTGTAACTTGATCAATAGAATATAATCAGATTTTTCTTGTTGACCAACTTTTAACAACTTCAACTTTCTTTTACTCCCTTTTCTCCTGAACTTCTTATTCTTTTCTTTATTCTTCACTATTTATACATCACCAACACATACCAGAGAAAAAAAGAACAGACAAAACAAAATACAACGAGAGATAAAATACATAGGCAGAAGATACAGACGGATAGGGGGGAGATAATAAATATTTTTGTCCACGTTGGACTAGACTACGTAATAATGAAGTTAATGTGAGACATCTTCAATTCACTTAAAGGAAGAAGAATAAAATACAATAAATAATGATGAACGTTGTTAGAGTGCTCTCTAACAGTAGATAATGTTTTGGTAAAAATGACCGAATAAATAGGTTGAAATATTCAACCATGGTAAAATTTACATCAGCCACATGTTTTCAGTGATTCATTCGTTTGACGAAGAAATATTTATCTCTTGTTCTTTTTAACATTCCATTTTCGTTTGTCATCATTGTATACTACAAAATGTACTTAGCGTTGTTCGAGTGAAAAAAAAATACATAAATTTATATATAGAAACGAATTTATTCTGTTCTCTGTTTGTTTTCAAAGATAAAAGACATGCCCATAACAGACATTATTCTTTTTTTTCTCGCTTTTTTCTTCATTGTGCTCTTTCGTTATTCTAAAGGACTAAGTGAATAAGCAAGATATATTATACGATAATGATGTTATTACTAATACAGAAAAATACAAGAAAAAAACGAACCAAAACAAGAGAGAGAGTAGAAGAGAACATGAGAAAAATTGAAAATAATAAAATGACAGTGCGTCGAGTCGACTTTGCGTAAATATTCTTCATATATTTCGTATAGGAAAAAATCAAACAGAACGAAGAGGAACGAGAAAGGTAAAGAAACGTAAAGAAAATTTATCGAAGCGTATCGATTAATATTTTCATCTTGCTGTATTTATTTTTTATTTCACTGTTGTGTCTAAAAGTTAGATATATACGTATATAATTCAAAGGCAATCGTTTATTTGCATTATAGAAAAAAAATAATGACAGAAAAAAAACTTATACGACGTCCAAGGGATGCTATTCGAAGAGATATTTCATCATATAATGAAGTACATCAAGATATCGATACACGAAAAGCTCAATATTCGACGCTAGTAACGAAATATTATAGTTTAACAACAGATGTTTATGAATCAACTTGGGGTAATAGTTTTCATTGTGCTAATCGATTTCGTGGTGAAACATTCGCAGAATCAATGCAACGACATGAATCTTATTTAGCATTAAGAATGCAACTTAAACTAGGAGATAAAGTACTTGACATCGGTTGTGGAGTTGGAGGGCCCTTAAGACGCATTGCATACTTAACTGGAGCACATATCACCGGTATAACAATTAGTCCATATCAAGTTCAAAGAGCTACAGAAATCGGTAAGAATTCATTGTATTTATTTTTTGAAACAAATCTCGAATATGAATTGAAACCTCATTCCAGGTGTACCGCCCAATTGTGAATTTATTCAGGGTGATTTCATGAATTTACCATTTGAAGACAATAGTTTTGATCATGTTTATGCTATAGAATCTGTATGTCATGCACCAGACAAAGTATATTATTATATTTTTTCCTTAAAAAAAGAAGTACTTTCTTCTATAATGATTTAGTCTAAATGTTTTGCTGAAGTTTTTCGTGTACTTAAACCAGGTGGTTCATTTGTTGGTTATGACGCCTGTTTAACTGATAAATATGATAATCAAAATCCTGAACATGTTGAAATAATACGTACGATGGAAGCAACTCTTGCCTTACCTGAACTAAAATTAACCCGTGAATTAGTTTCGGATCTTGAATCAGTTGGTTTTACTGTTGAAGAAAATCGAATAATACCCGAAGCTGATATTCCTAGTTATCAACCATTAGATGGTGGTGATTCATTTTTCTCATTCAATCTTCATCGCACAGGTCCTCTTGCTCGACGATTAGGACATTGTTTACTTTGGCTTACAGAGAAAATTCGAATAGCTCCCAAAGGCAGTACAGCATTAAGCAATGTGTGGCAAAAATCAGTTAAAAGTTTCTTACGTTCTCGTAAACTTGATATATTTACATCTCTATTCTTTTTTCTTGCTCGAAAACCTGAATTATAAAAAAAGAGCTTATCAGCGTGCTCTCTTTGGAGCTAAAAAGTGAAACTCACATTTTTTCTTCAACTTCATTATACTAACACAAGATATGTACAGTGCAAAATCTCTCACAGATGAGAGTTGCTTTCTCAAGATGATCGATCGCAGAGAAACAATCTGTCTTATTATTTCTATATTTCAAACAGAAGATTTTTTTTCTTTTAATTTTTTTGTTGGCACTCTATGTCTTATTTATGTTTTCTTTCTTTGTTTCATCATTTTTCCTAATTTACTATTATTATTATTATTATTATTCTAGCTTCTAGTCTGACTGATAAATAAATCTATTATACACACATTTTACATCTACAGCTGGTCTCAACATACGGCCAAATATGTCTTATTGGAGAGGAGTTATGGTGAAAATATGTTTGTATTAAATTAATGAAAAATAGGAACATTTTGTTTACTATGATTCTCGTGGTTTTGGGTGTAGGTGTGGGTGTGTATAGCTACCACAATACCGTAGGTATTTCGAATTTTGCTGAAAATAAATTCTTATGAAGTGACACAAGTGCTGGTGTGTAAGATTTAAGGAAATGTCAGTGAATACATGTGGAGAATTGTATGATTTTATTTAAGTATGGATGCCTCGTGGGATTAGTGTGTGTTGTCGTTAGGGGTGTGTGAAATAACGTAGACTGAATGTAGTTTGGTTTCTATTGCTCCAGTTGTTGTTGAGAACTGAAGTATAGGATTGGAAATAATGGGATTTGTGTCTTGGTTTTATGATTAACATAGTTGTATTGTTTCAGATTATTGCTTTCGTTACATGTTCGATTTGAGAGTCGATCGAGATTATCGTTTTGATTTTCTTGTGAATGGGTGGTAAATGTTGAGTTGGACAAATATGGATGCATCTGAAATAAACACAAATGATTGAGGAAAACGGTAATGTTCATATAAAAAGGAAAATAGAAGTGGGTAGACCATCGCAATGTTTGGTGATGTATATTCGTAAGAGAAATGCCTAATAGAAGAACACAATATAATTTCATAAGGAATTATATGTAGTAGTAGATATTCATGAATAAATCAATGATAATAACAACTTTAAGGCAGTTTGATTAGAATGATGATTAGCTATTTCAAGATTGAATTAATATAAAAACTATAGGGCAACACAAATCACACAGAGAGATTGATATTTAATTGTCTATGTTATTTTGATGTTCTTGTTTTTTGTCAAAATATTCGTTGGGACCTATATTTAAGAAAGAGAAAATACAAAGATCGAATTATTTTGGGGAGATGACTTTTAATCAGTAGTTACCCATTTGATAAATTATGGCTCGTTGTTGCCAAAATATAGCTTCACATTGATCTTCATATATGATTGATTGACGTCCCAATGCTCCTTCTGGTTGACCTGGATTCAGAAGAATGATTGTTGGTTGTGTACAGTTAATCTCTAATACTATTTCAGTTTCATCAGTTGTTTAAATCATTTTTGACACATATTATGTTCACGTCAAGTTAAAATCAAAAATAGAAAGAATGAAAGAGACATGTGTTACATACGTTCAAGAGCCCATTCTGTGTTAATATATGTTTTTTATTTGGATATCCTTTTTCTTCGAATTGATCCCAACCAATATTATCGAAAATAGAATAACGTACAAAATTTTTTCAAAGATCTAATCGTCATTTTCCATTGAAATAATTATAATAACCAGGTAACGATTTAGCAAACGATCTTTTTCCAATACCCGGTGGTCCGATTAATATTTCAATAAAAAAAATAGAGATGAATATGGATGAAAGAATATTGGGTTATTTATAAGATTTTTGTTTCCTGATAGTTATGCGTACGTAACGCTGGTGTACAATCAGAAAATGATTCAGGCCATATATATTCTTTGGAAATTATTATATCCATTCGATTCATTCTATCTTCTTGTTCTCATAAATAGATATGTCTGAATGTATATAAATAACTCAGAAAAACTGACTAATCAAAGAAATGATATAATGTATTTGAATGATATGAACTTTTCATGATTAATTAAGAATTCTGTTGACATTGCATGTTACATAAAATCCATTGCTGCATTAACATTTGTTCGTGCTAATTGCAATGCCTGTATAGTAATGAAATCTGATGGTGCTTGTTGAATAGGATGCAAGTTATTATTGTTTGCCATTCTTGGATACGTATTGATGAGTAATTATGAATAAGGTACACTATCTACAATAGAGAAAAACAATAGATGAATGTAAAATATCACATACAAGTACATGAATAAATGTGAAATAATGATAACACAAAGATATATGAGAAGGAAAAAATATAAAATAGAAAACAAAAAACTACTACTACAATAGTAATAAAGTTATATTATTATATGACGGGCTGTTTGTTAGAAAAAAGTTCGTATGTTTTAGTTTGTAATATGAGGAACTGAAAATCGAATAGTTCTTTATGAGCCTGTAGCCTTTTGGAAGAGTTGTTAGTCGGCAGCTGGAGTTTGTGAATGGTTTAACAGGATAAGTAATTTTTGTACAATATCATATTCGCTGCGTTTTATGATGTTTTCTTCACGGTTCACTATGAACTGCATTGTTTTGTCGAAGATTGACGTATCTTTGTAGTTGTATCTTCTATGAAGCAGTTTGGTTTTTTCTTAGAAAGCTTTTTATGCATATGTTTGTGCCATTTCTTCGGCTCTGGCTAGCATTTGACTAGCTAGATCTTGGATTGGAATATGTTCTGGTTGAAATTCTAATTGCATAAGTGTATGGTTTATGTTCGGTAATTGTAGATTCGATATGGTACTCGATGTTTGTAGAGTTTGGTTTGCCAAATATTGTTTAAACATCGCGATTCCGTACTTGATGGCTTGCTCGTCGTGTATGGCTTTTCATATTTTTTTGGCTGAGGAGATCTAGGAATATCAAGGAATAGATTAAGTATTTGTGAATGATACATTTACTAACCTCGGTTTGCTTTGGCTTCAGTTGATAAAACCGTTGCATTAATTGATGTTCTTTAGCATCGAATTGAAGTAGTGTTCTTTGTCTTTCAAGTTCAATACGTAATAGATTTTGATCCTTATGAATAAGACTATTGGTAATATTCATTATTTTTGTCATATCGAAAAAGGCAGGTATAGGTTTCACATATTCATTCATATCATTTATATTGTATTTTCAATAGTCATTTTTTTCGATACACATCCATTTCTAATACCTTCGGTCATATCGAGATGATAATAGTAAGACCATTGTTCATTTTGTAATTTGGAATAATTTAATATATTGACGAGTTGCGTAAGTTGATGAATAAATAAGAATATGTCTTTCTTATTCAATAATTCAGTTAATGTATCTTTATTAATATCTTCTGATGCGAATGTTAATAATATTTCTTTAAATTTGATGTTAGATATTGTCAAATAATCAGTTAACAATAGTGTTGGATCGGTATTTGTCGTAATATCCAAAGGATTTGATTTCTTTTTCACTGACGACTGTTGTGATACAGATAAAATTTTAAATTGTGCACTTGATAAAGTATGTGACAATTGAAACGGATTATTGTTGAGTACTTTTTTCGTTTGCATATGTAATCTACGATGTTTCTTTTTGAAATGTTGTGCTTTTCGAATAGGTTGACTTTGATTAAATTTCTTTTTCTTTGTATGTTGGGTGTAGGGGTGGGAAGTTACCGTTCCCAGACCGTTCCCTGGGAACGGTAACGGTAACGGTTTCAAGGGAAAAAGTTACCAGTTACCGGGGAACGGGTAGGGGTGGCCTATTTACATTTACGCCAATTTATTAAATTCGAAAATAAATTTTTGAAAATTTAAATTTCAAATAAATGTAGATTTTTGCTATAACAAAATTTATACTTAAAATAAGCTTTAATTTTCTGAACTAAGATTAAAATGAAATGTAAATTTTTGTTATACCAAAAATTTATAATTAAAATAAATTAAAATTTTCGAAATTTACATTTAAAATAAATGTAAATTTTTGTTATACCAAAAATTTATTTTTAAAATAAATTTAAATTTTCGAAATTTACATTTAAAGTAAATTTAAATTTTCGGAATTTACATTTAAAATAAATATAAATTAAATTGAAAAATTTTATTTATTATATTGTTTCTTGTTACGGTTCAAGAGGCATGGTCTCAGCAGCTTATATTTCAAAAATAATTTTGTTCAGTAATTCTTTGTTCCAGTGTTTGAAAATTATAACTTAGCCTTTAGGCATTAGGGGTGACCTTTTCACATTTACGTCAATTTACTAAATCCGAAAATAAACTTTGAAAAATTTCAAATAAATGTAAATTTTTGCTATAACAAAATTTACACTTAAATTAAGCTTAAATTTTCTGAATTAAGTTGAAAAAGAAATGTAAATTTTTGTTATACCAAAAATTAATAATTAAAATAAATTAAAACTTTCTAAATTTCCACTTAAATAAATTAAAACTCAATTAGAGTTTTCTGTTTTGTCTCTTGGAATAAAAGCAACATTTCATATTAAATGTATGCTACACCAAGCATATGTCTATGGATATTTTAGTATTATATGTAAATAATAGGAATACAGCATTTCTTCTTTTTTTAAAATCTTTTACTGAGGATGATCTGATTATAGAGTGTAACATAAGTTGCTTTCTTATTATTCACCTTGTTTCATTTGAACTGATTTATTTCGACAAAACATGATACAAAACAAACGTACAAAACTACATGATTGAAAACATGTTTTACTTGTCTATAGTTCAATTCGAATTTACATATCATATATCATAATCACGTAGTAGCATCGAAAAACGTAAAGTAGATGATGATAGAGTTGAACGGTTTTTTCTTTGAACATAACCAGCTACTGAAAATGCACTCTCACTGGCTACTGAAGTAATGGGCATCATACAATAAATTCGAACTAAATTGGCTAATTGTGGTAGATTTTGTTGGTTTGTTTTCCAAAAATGTTCGAATTCTGTGTC